TAATTATATGGGTTAGTCTCTGTGTCCTCTATTCTGTACCATTGGTCTACAAGTCTGTTTTGGTGCTAATACCATGCTGTTTTTGTTATGTTCCTCTGTAGTATAGGTTAAGGTCTGGTATAGTGATGCCACCTGCTTCACTCTTCTTGTTAAGGATTGCTTTAGCTTTTCTGGGTCTCTTATTTTTCCAGATGAACTTCATGACTATTTTTTCTATTTCTATGAAGAATGACATTGGGATTTTGATCTAATTGCATTAAGTATGTATAGTGCTTTTGGTAGTATGGTCAGTTTGACAGTATTAATTTTTCCTATCCAAGAGCAAGAGAAACTCTTTCCATCTTATAAGGTCTTCTTTAATTTCTTTCTTTAACATTCTGTAGTTTTCATTGTATTCTTTAACATTCTGTAGTTTTCATTGTAGAGTTCTTTCATTAAGTTGATTCCCAAGTGTGTGTGTGTGTGTGTGTGTATTTTTTTTTTTTTTTTGAGGCTATTGTAAATGGGGTAGTTTTCCTCATTTCCCTTTCAGAGGATTTGTCACTGATACACAGAAATGCCTTTGATTTATTGTCCTCATTTTTTCGTGTGTGTGTGATATTGGTTATTTAACTTCTTTGAGACTCAGTTTTCTTATATGTTAAATGGAAAGGTTGAACAAAATGATTTCTGATATGACTTATAAAGATGATTAAAAGTCTAATAAATTATGGTTTATTTTTAATTCATCCCAATTATTGCTGTGTTGATTTTAATTATCAAAGGTTAGCTTCTTATAGACTTTCTTATTTTCTAACATTTCCCAAACATTGCAGTTATAGCCTAAATAATTGCTATTCAATGAGAAGCACATATAATTTAATATTTCCCTAGTTATTTAAAACAGATAAAATTATTTTGATAATATATCATTTATATATATAATTCTAATGATATATCATTTAAAATATTTTTCGTAAACATTATTAATGAAATGTTTTACATTCTTTGTTTCATATTCAATCTTTGGAACCCTGTGTTTTCTATCTTTAGAAAACATTTCAGTTTGTGCCAGTTATGGAGTTTAAGTGCTCAAGAGTCGCATATGGCTAGTAGCCACTATATTAAACAGTAGAATTCTAGGTTAATGAACACTACTTTCTGAAGTAGTTACTTAAGAAATGGTAACAGAAATTTTAATGAGAGGAGAATTATATGTAAGCATTTAGAAGACAGGGATAATGTCTGCTTATATTTTTTGTCCTCAACTCATAGTACCTAACATAATACCTGGTGCAGTGTGTAGTCAATAAATATTTGTTAAGTAAATAGTAGTTTGGATTAATGACAGTATTGCAATAGGCTAGTTTYAAGAACTTGAGAGAGGGAGATCCTTTGTAGATTTGATCTCAGTGTTCTTTTCATTAGGGTAGAGGGGAATGCTGAACTATTCTCTGTTATCTTTAGAAATATGGAAACAATATTCTCAAATTACTGTAGACAACCAATCTAATTCATCTATTATACTCCCCGTATATTTTAGAAAAGAAGTTTTAAACAGTAAGGCTATTTCTTCTCACTTCTAATAGAGAAGATAAGAGAAATTAGCATTTACGTAGCACATTTTGTGCAGGCATTGTGTGATATTACATATAATTTATACATGTAACAACACTGAGGTATGATATTTTTACCATAATTTTTGCGGACCTAGAAGAGGCTTTCAGAATTGGTTTTGCCAATTTCAAGTTTTCCAAGTCAAACAAAGTATGACTTTCATGAGTCTATAAATGCCAATTTTATATGTCACACAAAAGTTTTATGAGATTAATCTTATTTTAAAAGTGTCCTTAATAATCATACAGGTATTATTTATCTAAAAAATCACTTCCAGGAAAATTCTGGCTTGATAAAAAGGAAGATAATAAAAAACAAACGAACAGGTAAAATCAATTTAAACTGTTAAACATACAAATGCATTTTTASAAATTTCTTCTCAAGCTTCCTTATTTTTTTTTTCATGTGGTGCAGTCTGCAGAAAACAGCAAAAATCATGTATGTACTTCTGTTTTATATTTTTAAAACCTTTCTGATCATTTAAAATTATGGAATATTTTTCAAAAATTATAGTTATCTTGAGGAAAAGCCCTCTTGATGAAAAAACAAAATAAATATAAAAACAGAGTTTCTAGTACAGATGTAAGAATGCCTTAAGTATGTTGATATTTATTAGCTAGMATTTCTTTTGTGACCCATAGAGGCAATTCATCAAATTATGGGAAAGATAGATTCATAGAGATTTATGGGTAAATTTTAAGAAACCTATTACCTAATACATTGTATATTAACTTGAATTCTATTGCTGTGTTAACTAATTTTCAGCAGAAATCTAATTTGGATTTATGGCTTTCAAGCATTATCTAGAAACTTTATCTTACAAATATTTTTTCCCAATAATTGGAAAATATTGATTTAGCATTTATAAACTTGTAAGTAAAAAAATTATTTAGCATTATAAACTTGTAAGTATATAGTTGGTTAAAATATGGATTGATTACTAGGCCCAGTAGCACAGGCCTATAATCCTACACAACTTCGGAGGCTGAGGTAGGAGGAGTGAAAGTTCAAGGCCAGTCTCAGCAATTTGGTGAGACCCTCAGCTTAGTGAGACCCTATCTCAAAATTTAAACAAACAAACAAAATAAATAAATAAAAGACTGTAATGCAGCTCAGTGGTAAAATACCCCTGTATTCAATCCCCAGTATAAAAAAAAAGATGGATTTATATAATTTACATAGTGGTAATTGTGCAAGAACCTGACCACTGAGCAGCCTTTGATGTTTGTATTTTGTGGAGTGAACAATAACAATGTGAAATTAATAGAAAGATCAATGACTTGAGTGAATTAGCTTCATCAGCATTTTATTTTTAATTTACTAAAATGATTTTAAAAGCAGTAAGTGTAATGCCATGGTTTTGCAACTTMTTTTCTGACTCAGTATTTATATGGATTTACCCAGTAATTAAATCAGAGATATTTCTGGAATCATTATAAATTCTTAGATACCTTTAGGATTGGGGAATGTATTAACACCTGCTGCTTTGTATTCATTCTAAGAGGGCTGTTTTGTTGGTTATTACATTGACTTCCTTTGATGTCTTTAGTTTTATCCTCACTCAAACCTGGGGATTATATCTTTTGGGGTTCGTATCATCCATAGTAGAGATACATGACAGGGTAAATCTCTCCCCCTAGTTAGAGGCTGTAGCCTTCTTTTTTTTGTTTTATTTTTTAATTCTTTGATTCGTTTTAGCCCATGGCTATCTATAATCTTTAGCTGCATACATAAGGAATGTTCCATTTCAGAAATTTTTTTGCAATTCCTCTTTTTCCCCTCAGGGTACACTCTCCTACAAAACCAGCCAGTTACTCAGTAAAGTGGACGATAGAAGAAAAAGAGCTGTTTGAACAAGGGCTGGTAAATAGAGCAATTTTTAATTTATAGTAAAAATGATTCTAAAAGCAAATACTGATAGAGTTATAAGATTAAACCGTAGAGACCAGAGCTTTTAATTAAATTTATTTAACAACTTGAGTTTTTCTGTAGTTAGAGTAATGGTGTTTATAGTGTAGTACAAGAGAATTCCTTTTAACTAAGGTACTAAAATAGATTTGAATCAGTACTTTGATATAAACATTTTTGGGGTATTAGTAAAATCCAAGAAATTGTGCTGTTATCTGTATACATGACACCAACTCTCTGGATTAAAAGGTAAAATATTTAGTTGTCTAAAACTTTGTGTTAAGCTGGGTGATCAGCTGAGTTGTTCTTTAATAAACTGTTTGCCACTATGTRCACAGGCAAATGTTTTATGCATAGATATGAAGACCAGAATAATTTCATACAAAATAAATTCATACAAAACATTCTTTTGTATGAATGTTTCACTGAAATCTATTTAAAAATGCATAGATTATATAATGRGGAAAAGATGTATGCTCATTTCTGAAAATATTCCTTAAAATGAAGAAATTTTTAACAAAAATGTTCAGGAAATTTGTCTTTAACAAGAGTAGATTATATATTTTCTTTTAAGATACTTGTTACTCTGTATTTTATAAATTACTTTAGAAATTATATATATATATATATAATATTTGTGTAATTATTTAAGATTTGTAAATGCAATTTGAAATATTTACATTTCTATAGATGATGAGAAATAAAATGTTTTTGCTTTTCTAGTTAAAACCATGGTATCTATAAATTCTGTAAATACTAAACGATATTGAGGGTTTTTTCCCTGTACTGGTGATTTTTTTCCTATATTGGTATTTCAGTCCGTTGCATCATAGTCTAATTTTAATTAACCAGTAATTTATTTTAGTCTGCTGACAGCTTTTATGTTTTGTCCCTTATAAAGATCAGATATACATATGTGTGRAATAGTTTGTTTTCAACCATTTTTTGGTTGATAATTGTTGACATTGTTGGTAGTTATGGGAATGCATTTGTGTGCTCAAAAGTCAAAAGTAATCTAGTTATAGGGTGTTAAGTCTCCCTCTCACTTCTGAAGTAATCAGTGTCGTCATCTTTGTATATCCTTCCTAAGATATTTTGTCCATTTATAMGCAAATATGTATTTACTTATATAGAGATATGTAGAAATCTACCTATCTACATTAAGAGATATTTGAATTAGAATGCTTTCATAAACAAAAAACAGAGTTTGCATATATACTGAATTCTCTCAGGCATACAAGAAGGGAATTATGTGATACTGAACAACTAAGGAAGGTTTTTTCTTATTTTCCTTTGGCAGTGGACTGTCCCTTTATTTTGAAATTGGTGCATGTTTTCCTTGCTACTCTCATTAGTATCTTTCTCCAGTGTTCATGTTGTCCAAATTTCTGATGTCCCCAGTGATATACTTTTATCTAGATCTCTAGATCTACTATTCTGTGCTATCAAGTTATTTAACTGCTTTTACTACCCACTCACACAAAAAAAAGAGAACTAATTCTTCAGTAAGTTAGTCTCAACTAGGTGCTGATCTCTTTTTCTTTTATTGTACTGGRGATTGAACCCAGGGGCACTTTACCACCTTAGCCCTTTTTAGGTTTTTATTTTAAGACAGGATCTCACTTGGTTGCTTAGGGTCTTGCTAAATTGTTAAGACTGACCTAGAACTTGTGCTCCTCCTGCTTCATCCTGAGTTGCTGTGATTACAGGCTTATGCCAGTGCTCCTTGTTAAGTGCTGATCTTTAGTAATTAATTCATACTTACTAACAATTTTCTCAGAAGTACTTTCAGTTTTAAGAAATTGTCCATGTCAGATTTTCTAATGAATATCAGAAATAMGTGTATAAGTTAAGGTTTGTCATTCAGGTCAGATCTTTGAAGATGATTTGTTATTGTTTGTTACTGATAAGACGTGACTGTTTGACCTGTGGATCTGCCTCTCTACCTCCCTGAGTTTTGGGTGGTTTTTCTTTTTTGTGTTTGTTTGTTCTTATAAGAATTCTAAAAAATGGAAATGGATGAGCTACTTTGAGAAGTAGAAAGTATTCAGTGTGGTGATATTATAAAGACGATTTACATATTAAATGAGAATTATACTTGATACCTAAAAATCCCTTTTGTATAAAATTGTATGTGTTCCTTTCTGTACTTCAAAACATGGGAGCTCCCTCCRGTTCCCAGTTTTTTTTTCCCCACAGCTTCAGTGTTAGCAGGTGCACAGCCTTGACACTAAGAGGGAGGCATTAGATACAGGTATAMTTCATTCGTGATTCAAACTTGTAAGTCATTGCACTGATACTTGTATAGAGTAAAAGTGTCTGTGTGGGGCACAATGGATGTTCTGAAAATTTTGTGATTAGTGCAAAACATGTTAAATGTCCAATGTTCACCTACCTCCTTTTTGAGCACTTACTTATTTTTAAAAGATATCTTGTAGATTTTGGAACATCGTAGTGTGCAGTATGAATGTATACAGTTAGGTAACACAAGTGGTGGATCTTCATATATATTATTATTTTCTATGATTTTTAAAATYATTTTGGATTGTTTTCAGAAGTCCAGGTTCAAGGGAGAGCTTTTAGATTTGAAAGAGCACAGTCTATAGGGAGGATTTCATTGTTTGGTTTAGTCTATAGATAAAGATAGTTTTAATTGTTTTTCAAATTTGCCATTGCTTAAAATATTAATAAGTAAGCTAATCAAAAGCAATTTTTTTCCATTTTGATAACGCAGGCTAAATTTGGTCGAAGGTGGACCAAAATTGCAAAGCTGATTGGAAGTCGCAGTGTTTTACAAGTGAAGAGTTATGCCAGACAATACTTTAAAAATAAGGTAAGCAGAACAAAATTAGTAACCAGAAATATATAATGTAAGTATTAGTGTCTTATTGTTTAAAGTTTTATATTAAAAGTATTTTAACCTCATAAAACACTATGCATGTTTGACTTTAAACACGTTAGAGCATATCTTTAGTTTTTTAACTGTTGCTATTAAATAGTATTTATATACTATACTACCTAATTTTCTATAGTTTAAGGGTAAATATTAACTACCCCAAAACATTCTAGAAGGCAAGGATTATTCCTAAGAGARGCTTAGAGGTCTTGTGTTCCTCTAAACAATATCTCTTCTTTTTTAAGTATTTGCATTATAAAGACTTTTATCTATTATTACAGCTTAGAGGACATAAATGCTAACATGATTCTGGAATCTATTTAATAGTAACRAGGTTTTTATAAATTTTGTGGAGAACTTTCTGAAAACTTTAATAAGTAATATTCAGAAAGACATAGTTATATAATTCCTTAATCTTTCAAGTAATTTGTGCTATATTCAGCTGTGTAATGTTGATATTTAGAACTTTTTAACATATTTTGCTTGAGCTCTAAATATGCAAGTATATAAAATTTGGAAATGTCCTGAGTGAAATTTGGTGTTTTAATGTAACTAATGTGTTCTAACTTGATACAATATTTGTCTTGGTGTTAGCTGGGAATAGGTGGTAAGTAATGGAAGGTATTCATTGTATAGTAATTAGCTGCTACTTCTTTCAAACTAACAAAAGCAACTTGAAGTAGTTTATCAAGGTTGAGGTAATAAGGAACAGAAAAATAGCTTCACCTGATTATTCTTATACCATGCTTCTTACATTAGAATATGTGGAATAAGTTGGAGTATCAGTTGTACTTATAAATGTGGGGTGGAAGGATACATTTATATTACAACAGACATTAGAATTTTATGAACTTTAATGCAAAATTTCATCCAGAATTTTGAGATTAAAAACAGGAGGCTGAGGGCTGGGAATCTAGCTCATTCAGTAAAGTTCTTCCTAGCATGCATGAGGCCCCATGTTTGATTCCCAGAATTGCAAAACAAACAGAAAACCTTAAAATGTAGTAGGCTGCAAATAAATAAGAAGATTTTTAATGGTATTTGAGGCTATATGTCCAAATCTCCTCCTCCCCCTGGTACCCTTTTGTTCTTTACATGATCCTGGGATTCTTTTGTGACAATGGAGCTATTATCTCTTACTTAGAGCTACCATATCTCTTGGATGTGTCAGTCATTTACAGGATTTTCCAAAAATATTATATATAAAAACTTTCATTTCAATTCATATTTACTCATTGACTTTCATCTTTTTCTTACATTATCAGGTATTATCAGGAGTGGAAGATAATACCATGGCTTAACATTATAAACTCTGTAATATTGAAGCTGCATTAAGTTAACCTGCAAAAAAATAGTTTCTATAGTTGAATGAAAGATGGATTGAACTTACTGAATGTAAATATGTGACATAAATTCCCAAGTAAAGGATTATTTTAGCATCATAAGAAATGATCARCTGTGTTTGTCATTTTGAAAAGTAGACTTTTATAAATATTTTTAATATCTTATAGAACACCTTAACGTGAAAGTTGTTGGTTTAGTCTCTRGTTAGTTCAAGCCTATTTTAAACTTAATACTGAAAATAAATACATGGTAGTTCTATATAGATCATTATTATTTTAAAAGTACCAAATCATGAGTCATATAYGGGAATTTAAAATGTTGATCTTTTACATTTAAAAAGCAGTTTTAAACACATTAAGGAGAAGCACAGTGAAGGTCTAATGTACCATTATATCTTATTTATTGTCAGTTGATTAAATTTTAAAACCKTAATATTATGGGTGTCTTATTCTGATTTTTAATAAGGTAAAATGGAGTCCAGARAAAGAAACACCAAATCAGAAGAGCAACAGTGATCATCAGGTTAAAAATGAAGATAAAGGGACAAAGGCATGGACACCATCATGTTTAAGGGGACGTGCTGATCCCAACCTGAATGCTGTAAAAATTGAAAAGTTGTCTGATGATGAAGAAGTAGACATCACAGATGAGGTGGATGAGTGGGCTTCTCAGACATCACATAAGAATTGTAGCAGTGGTCTCTTGTTAGACATTCCTAATAGTAAAACACATGAATCCAGTCAAGAAATCAGAAGCCAGGAAATTCTCTTTTGCAGATCTTCCAGGGAATATCTTCAGAATATAAAACAAGATGAGATGAAAACACTTTCAAGCTCAGAAATTACATCATGGACCAAAAAACAGAGCAACAATGAAAATGACTCAGCTGAAGTCAATGATCAGAAATGCAATAAACTGATTAAAAATGGTGACAAGCAAGGTGGAAATGGAATAGATGACTCCAGGCAGTGTCCTTCTCCAGAGCCTTGTGAAATTCAGAAAGATTTTAGTGATAATGAAATGCTTTTTCATTCTTCCTGCCAAATGGTGGAGGAAAGCCATGAGGAAGAAGATCTTAAGCCACCAGAACAAGAAGTAGAAATAGATAGAAATATTATTCAGGAAGAAGAAAAACAAGCAATTCCTGAGTTTTTTGAGGGACGCCAAGCTAAAACACCAGAACGCTATTTGAAAATTAGAAATTACATTTTGGATCAGTGGTAAGAATAACATTTTGGATGCTGCTTGAAAACCTGATATTCTGTGGAGTATTTTAACTAGACCTATRTAGAATTTAAAATTTTGCTAGTGATCCAAAGAGCTTTCACATGTATTATCATTTCAGGAGGAAAGATTAAACATTTCTCATAGTGATCTTTTTTTAAAAGCATTGCTAAACATTGTAACCTATGGCTCTCATAATCCATCTGTTCTTCAGAGTGTTGGAGCCTGGAAAGAAAAGGTCTGATGATTCCTTTAAGAAGCAACTTCTTGGGACAGTGTTGGGAAGATGTACACAGAGAATTTCTTTTCAGAAATTTTATGTACCTKAAGTATAAAGAAGGAAAACTTAGGTGACAGAGGAATACACTGTAGTTAAATGTAGCTAGATTGCATAAATAGTTTTCCTAAATAGCTGTCTTAAATGTTTTCAGTTTGAACTTGTTGCATAATAAGGTATTTCTTATCATCTACCTTCATCAGGATACAGGAATTTTCTAATGTATGGAGTTACCTTCTAAATTGTCAGTATATTTTAATTAATATGGAATAGGAAACAAGACAAAATACTTCTCATCTTATTAGCCTAAATACTCAAAAATATTTTGAATTTTTTGTTTGTAGCTTATCAGTTAAGTCATCACTAAATATTCAGTTTGCTGTTATTGTTTCAAGAATATTGAATTGTATATGGCCAACTTTACAGAGCGCTTCCAGGTGATGGGCCCTTGGGTGAGGATTCAGCAGGGTCCCTTGTTTTTCTCTTTCACTTTATCAGGTCTTTCTATCCTGTTTCAGTAACTTTCTGCTATATCCTGGGGATGTTATCAAAGGAAACAAATAATTTGTTGAATCAGATGTCTTCATTTTATACAGACAGTATTACATTATTTGGCTTGCAAAGAGAGCCATATTCCAACAGGAGGATTTGTTCTTGTTCTTGCCTCATGATCATTTCAATTGGTTAAAGTGCTAAAAGTACAACTTCTGGCTAGTGTTGCTATCATAGTAAAGAATATTGAGGAGGAACAACTCCTAGCATTTACATGGTGTTTTGCAGTTTACAGAAAGCTTTCCTTTATTTCATTTGACTTGTCACCGTAATACTGTGAAAAAGACAGATGGTATAATCTTACGTGATAAGAATAATTCTGAGATCAGGTGACCATTAGAGGCCTGTCTTTGATTACACAACCAGCCAGTGACTATGAAAGATGTTAGTCCAAGTCTTTTTGTTATTCTACATTACCTAATTGACACTATTTTTTAAAAGTATATTTACTTATTTGATGATTCATTTATTTATTTCCTTCCTTCCTTCCTTCCTTCCTTCCTTCCTTCCTTCCTTCCTTCCTTTCCTTCCTTCCTCCCTTCCCTCTCTCCCTCCCTCTCTCCCTCCCTCCCTCCCTCCCCAGGGCCTTATGCATGCTAGGCAAGCACTCTACCAACATTCCCAGCCCTTTTTGATTTATTTTTGCAGTGCTAGGGATTGTGCCCCAAAGCTTTGTACATGCCAAGCAAACTTTCTATGACTGGGCTACACTTTTGCCCTTACGTTTTAAAAGACCAATGGAATGAGATTTCTATTGGTCTTTACTTTTATTTTTGGAAATAAGAAGATGGGTAGCCAAAATTGAAGGACTTCAGAACAATAAGTACTTCTGAAATGTCTATATGAGCCAGGCCTGTTGACACACCCCTGTAATCCCACTGGCTCAGGAGGCTGAGGCAGGATAATTGCAAGTTCAAAGCCAGTCTCAGCAACAGCGATGCTCTGTMTCCAAATAAAATACAAAATAAGGCTGGGCATGTGGCTCAGTAGCTGGGTGTCTCTCCCTGAGTTCATTCCCCTGTACCAAAATAAATAAATAAATAAAATGTTTATAAGAAGATCATCAATATATACTTAATATTTGTTTAATCAAATTGTTGCTTTGCATTTTGGATTCCATATGAGGCAGAATAATTTACATAGATATATAAATGATATGGCAGTAGTTTACTAAGTCATTTATCTTAGTTCTTGAAACCAATTTGGTTTTGCTATTTAAATATGATAATTTAACAGAACAGTGTGAAAGCAAAAAGGAATGTTTTCAACAGAACTGAAATTTTGGTTAGGGACTGGAGGTGGTACTAAAAAATAAAAAAAGAAGAAAGGAAGACTTAAAGTTTTCAAAATAAAAAGAAGTCTGCTAAATTTGTTTTTAGATAAATCCTTTCCATAAAAGTAGATGTAACTGACTCCCTGGTTAGAGGAATGTTTTTATTAAAACAATAATCTATACAGTTAACTGAATTTCTACCAAATGTCAGGCATTATATTTAAGCTATCCGCAATCCTCTTGACAATTTTGTCCTCGTTTTGCAGATGAGAAAAGTTAGGTTCACAGAGGATAAGGAAYTTGTTCTAGATCACACTAGGTGAAGATGATTTCAGAGTCTGGAGTCTTGACTCACTGTTCCTACAGTTCCAACTCAGGGCCTTGACCACTCTGTCTTAGATCTTGCTTTCCTCCAGATCTTGGAGAGTCTTGCTTTCTCATCTCAATTCAGGTCTGCGCAGGAAAATGAGAGGCTTCTGACCACCCTAATATATCTTCTTATTCTTCATTCTTTTATTTTGTGTTTTATTTACTTTATAGAGCTTACTCAAATAAATACACATTTAAAAACTRTGAAGTTCAGGAAAGGGAGTTTGGAGTTTTGGGAGTGTCTTGATTCTTTGGAATCCCCTATAATATCTATTTCTGTTTCCACTGAGAGTAAGAACTTAATATTTATTAGATTCATTATTAAAATGAATATAAAAATGTAAATATTTGTAAGATAGCTAATAGTTAAGAGACATCTGACCTAAGTAATATGTTTAAAAATTAGAAAAAGTGTAGAGGAAGMTAGAACTCAGGAGTAGAATGTTTGCCTATCCTGTGTGGAAGCCTTCGGTTCATTCTCTGGCACTAAAAAAAAAATTGAAAAGTTTAATGCTAAATCTTTTTTAATATATTGTCAAAGTGCTCTTTTTTTCAAAGATTTATACTTGAATTTGGATCAATACATAAATAACCTTCTAACTTAAAGATCCTGGGATAACTGGAATATTGACTTTTTTATTGGTAAAAGAATAGTACTTGTAAAACACAGTACAGGTACCTGTAAATTATTGCATCACTTAAAGATGTTTAAAGATTTTAGAAAAAAGTACACTTAGGTTATGTATTATATTTGCTATACACTTTATACAGTGAAATGGGTAAAATTTTAAAATATTTCATATAAGTTTTTCCCAGAATTTTTTTTTATGTTTTTATTTATCCAAAATAATTGTATTTCCATCTCTTAATTAGGGAGATATGCAAACCGAAATACTTAAATAAGACCTCAGTACGTCCTGGCCTGAAGAACTGTGGGGATGTTAATTGTATTGGACGGATTCATACATACCTCGAGTTGATAGGAGCAATCAATTTTGGATGTGGTAAAAATAAAAATCCAACAACATCTTTTACTCAATATTTTGTATCCTTATAGCACCCATTAATTTCTATTACTATTAGAATTTAAGTAAATTTAAGTATATAGAATTCAAGGAGGTAACCATTATGGAATAAATGTATAATTATGATTTTGCTGTAAATCAAATTTTTGTTGATTAAACTGTTTCTTTTTGATCTACAATGAAAACTGAGGTATAGTTTTTAAAGGAAAAATAATCTAATAGAAATAGTATAGTTCTTTGTAAGGCAAAAGTAAATAATTTTATGAAAACTCTATTAATGGCCCATTAAATTTATGCATACAGATTGAGGCCAACATGGTGCTTAAAAAGTTAAAGACACTGGAGCATTTCGATGCAAATATTCCAAAATCTAAAAAAAGTATGAAATCTGAAGTACTTCTGGCTTTGAGCATTTAGGGTAAGGGTTACTCTACCATTTACTGTATTTATGATAGAAATGCTATCTAGCAATGATTAAATAAAGGAAATAATTTTAGAGCCTCCACACTTAAATGTATCAAAAGTACCAAAATATTTTAATGGAAGAAAGTTCTTTCACCCATTTTCCCCCATATTTAAATTTGAGGAATAGGCATATTTCAAAATGTATTCCATCCTTTCATTGAATTGACATGACAAAAACTTTTTGAAGAAAGCTAATAGCCATAGTTGCATAGTCATAAGGTAACTAGAATCTTAGAGCCCATGGTTTATTTAAGAGGAGTACATTTTGTTTCTTTTCTGTGAAAGTGAAACAACTAACTAGAAAACTCATAGCACCTTTATTTTATTTTATGTGCACAGAGAATTTACAGTCTRCTTTGGAGCCTCTTTTTCATTTCAGTGGCCTGGTTTGCCCAAAGCCCTATATTTATAAATTAGCTTTTCAGGAAAATTAAAACATTTTAGCTTCCTTAGCTACAAAAGAAAAATGATCTGTATTTGACYGCCAAAGTGAGCAAAGGGAGCTCAGTAGTCAAAAATTATAAATACTGATTTCCTATATCCGTTTTATTGAAATTTCCTTTTAATAATAGCATTACTTTTATCTGGGAACTATAACATTAGTACATTAAATGTATGATTATGGAATAAGAATCATTGTTGCTCAGCTAAAGTCTTTGTAAATGTGTCTTCCTCTTTAACAAGTGAACTTCACAAAATAATAGATTGTTTATCTTTCCTGAACTCCAATAGAACAGGCTGTATATAATAGACCACAACCAGTTGATAAAGTTCGAATCAGAGACAGAAAAGATGCAGTAGAAGCATACCAGCTTGCCCAGCGTCTGCAGTCTATGGTAAACAGCCATTTTTCTAAGTGATTCCTCTACATTGCTCCTTACCAGTTTAGTAAAGAATGCCTACTTTATCTGCTTAACAAATGGCCATTTAGTGGAAGAAAATGTTTTCTATTACACTTCACCTTAGCCATTTATTTTTCTAGCTTCTGTTCAGTTTCATACTGGTTTATGAAGCAAAACCAACTGTAAAATCCTCAAAATTCATTGACAAACATGCAAAGCCATAATGTTTTGTTAAAGTGGTTTTGGGTGTTTAGTTTTGATTTAGAAATGTATCTTTTAAAACTTTACAGTTCAGGGGGTTAGTGATGAGGTTCAGTGGTAGAGACTTGCCTAGGTTAGGAGACTCTGGGCTCAATCCCTAGCACCACTGAAAACAAAACAAAACAAAACTATATAGTTCAGGTCTATTTTTCTCTTTCATTTCTATTATTTTTGTGTCTTTAAAAATTGTCTCCATAAGAATCAGTTTTTTGGAGTAACATTTACCTTTAATTCTTAGAATCAGTGAATTTTGTATTTTAAAATTTAAAAGGTAATCTTGTTGTGCATGTAAGTTAAGTTGATTATAGGTAAAATGTATGGGGGAAACAAAAGTATTATCTAGTAGTTATTTTTCTCATTGTTGAGGCTGCAAACCACTTCTACCTAGGTTTACTCTATTAAGAAAGGATGTTTTTTCTTTCTGGAAATGATACGGGTCATACTGCCCTTTCATAGCTGATCCATCTTAAAGGTCTCAGTATTGAGGTTTGTAAAACTGAATATTAGTAATATCAACAAATTCTGTTTTTCACTACTTGTATTAACTTCATTGTCCCCTTTCTAAAGCTGACATAYAAAGGGAAGCCATTTCCTTGGTGGTTCTTTCTGGTCTTAAAAATAATTTTKTCCTAGGTTTTTAGCTTCCAAATGATAAACAGAAGTGAAAATTAAATGCAAGTAAAGAACAGAAGATCACAGATTTTTTTTCTTTTCAAACAATGTCTCTGCCTCATCGTCTGGCCTACTCTCCTCACCTCCTGCCAGTGCTTTCACCCATAGCTCACAATTACTGATGTATTTCTGAGTACTAACTGTTGAACATAAATTAATAAAGTTTAGTGAGTCATTGATGATCAGAGATGATAATATTTAAATAAATAAGTTAACTAAATTTTATATAGTTATTATTTTGGTTTTGTGCTATCATTTCTCCAAGTTAATCTTGTTACCTTTTGCTTTATTTTATTCTCATCATAGCGAACAAGGAGACGAAGGGTTCGAGATCCATGGGGAAACTGGTGTGATGCAAAGGACTTAGAAGGACAAACATTTGAGGTAATTTTGACCTTTTACATGGCTTATCAATGAAAACTGTTTTCGTCAATATACATCTGTCTATCTTAATGTCATAATATTATAGTTGTTTCATGTGTTTACACATATATGTCTTTAGTCCCATGTTAATTTGTTCGTCTAGACGTTTTAGTAAGCCACAAAATGGAAAGCTTTGTTTCTACAGTTAATTAGGAGTCTGACTTATTTTCAGCACTTCAGTTCTCTCCCTGTACATCTTATCTCTAGTTCAAGAATGTATGCCCAGTCAAAGAGTTGGTATGCCTGTTTAATTTCATTAAATACTTATTGAATGATGTTTTCTAGACATTAGACATTGATATACAAATATTGAAATGTTTTTCTACTAATTCCTAAAAAGAAACACAGGCAGTAACTRGGTTTGTGTTTGTGTATATACACATGCACATCCTGTTCTAAATATACAATTTGTTCTAAATAGCCAGTACAGTAGAATGTAAAGAATACATGATTGTGTTTTTAATGGCTTTGTTACCTTGAGCAACTACTTAACCTCACTGAATTGTGTGTTTTTTTAAATTTATGAAACATGAATAATAGTACTTCCACAAAAGGATTTTTGTAAGAAGTAAATGAAATGAAGTATATGTATGAAGTCTTAGTATTAGATACTCACTAAGCCAACATGCGTAATGTACTAGATAAATGTTGGTTCTCTCTCTTCAATCCCCATTTCCTGCCCTAACTTTAACCTGAACACACAATAATAAGGCACAATAATAAGTAATACATGGCACAATAATAAGTAATACATGGTTTCTTACCATAAGGAACTTATATTTCTGTTAGGAAAGACAAAAACCTATGCCAAGTTACATAAGGTTGGTCCATGAATTATAAGGCCCTCTCAAAGACTTATGATCAGGGTAGGTTTCCACAGAAGAGGTGGTATTTGTTCCAAAATATCAACAGAAGAATCATCTTGAAAGTGGATTAAAATATTCCTATCTGAGGAAGTGGATAAGGTRCAGACATGGAAAACACTAAAATATATATGTATATTCTGGAAAAGGTGCATTAGCTTATCTCAGCTAAGGTGTAAGGTTGGTAATAAAGATGAAATTAGTGAAGTATGAACATTAACTCACTTAACTTCACAGTAACACCATGATATTGTTATTATTACTCTTAATCTTCCCATTTTTAAAGATGAGTAAACTGAAGCATGAAATCAACTTTTTGATAATAAATAGCAGAGCCAGGCATTCTGGCTCTAGAATCCTTCTGGAGTTTGGGATTGGACCCAGGGCATCATGCTTGTTAAATAAACATTTTACCACTGAGCTACACTCTCAGCCTTTAGAAACTGTGTTGTTTTTGTTTTGAGTTTTTTTTTTTTTGTTTGGTTTGTTTTGTTTTTGGTACCATGGATCRAACCCAGGGGCAATTTAACTGCTGAGCAATATTTCCAGCCCATTATGGTTTTTTGGTTTTTGTTTTTTTAGACAAGAATTGTGCTGAGTTGCTTAGTACCTTGTAAGTTGCCAAGGCTGGCTTTGAATTTGCAGTCCTCCTGCCTCAAYCTCCTGAGCTGATAACAGGTGTGTGCCACCACACCCTACAAAATATGTGTTCTTAATCTTAACACTGTGCTGTCCCAGTTGTGAAAGAAAATTCAGCACAGTAGAACTTAGTAACTAGTAACTAGGGAAACTAAAAGACTCAGATGATTCTAAGATTCTTTAACCTGTGTGATTGAAACCATTGATTGAAATGGGCATATCCAGAGGACTATRTTTTCAATTTGATATGGCTGTTTTATTTAAAATAATTAAAAAAAAAATTCTCCAGTAGGAGACCCATTTAGGTCAATTTAGTCTATCTTATTCTCACATGCTCTTAAATTGATTTTAAAAGACTGTTTTATTACTTTTCCCTCTGTGTAGTTGATGGACTCTGATAACAATTGGTGTTTTGTTTTAGCATCTGTCTGCTGAGGAGTTGGCAAAAAGAAGAGAAGAGGAAAGGGGCAAACCTGTTAAACCTTCAAAAGTGTCAAGGACAACAAAAAGGTACAGTGTTATGTTATATAAATTTAATTGTTTTAACTTATCAGACAGAAAATGTATAGACAAATGACCATTGGCTACATTATGCTATTATTTACCTAGATGGATCAGTTAAAATTTTTTTTAATTAAAAATAATTATAAAATTTTGGGTTTTTTTTTTGTTGCTATAATCAAATGTTTTAAACTTCAGGTGAGTGAGCATGGGATCCAATATATGTTTCAAAAGGACCTTGTTTATGACAGGAGATCATTCAACTCCAGATATGGACAAGTAACCTCAGGAAGTGACTATTTCTCTTAAAATATATATGAACTAGTTTGGTTCAATAGTGCACACCTGTAATCCCAGTGACTCAGGAGGCTGAGGCAGGAAGATCACAAGTTCAAACCCAGCCTCAGCAGCAAGGCTACAAACAATTCTGTGAGACCCTGTCTTAATAAAAAATAAAAAGGTCTGGGGATGTGGTTAAGTGCCCCCGGGTTCAATCTCCAATACCCTTCCCCACCAAAAAATGTGTGTGTGTGTGTGTGTGTGTGTGTGTGTGTGTGTGTAATTTGCAAAATATAAGGGTTGCTAAGTAAGTCAAATGCCTTGAATTTTTCTAGAAGACCTCTCCATTCCCTATAGATACCTATCCCACTGATTAGATCATAGTTTTGTCACTATTCCCTTTTAAAACAAGATACCCAGGAATGTCACTAGATCATTTTCTTGCAAGTTGTGTGACCTTGGATAGACCTCCTGTTCTTGTTTATGAAATAATAATTAAAATAGCTAACACAGTTCACTATGTTTTAAACAGTTCACATATATTAAATCATTTAATCCTCATAGAAACCTTCTGTAATAGTTGATGTTATCACTCTCATTTTACAGATGAAAACTGAGGGGCAAAGGGCAATTTAGTAACTTGCTGATGCTTAGTGTTGGAGCTGTGATTTAAGCCCAGACAATAAGGCTTAAGAATCCATATTCCTGGTAATATATAATTTACTACATTATATATTGCTTCTGTGAAGTAGAAATTAAAACTAATACTGTTATTGTGAAAATGTTAGACTATGAATACAGTCATCTATAAACCAAGCCTCTTCATTCAGTATTCAAACATTTGATTTTTTGAATTTGTGAGACTTATACTTTATATTTTTATTTTCAAATCGATTCAGTGTGTCAGGACCTTTTCAAATTCAGGTCTACTTTTCACATTTTAGCCTTTGTGCCACTAATCATCAACATTTCAATAAGTTTGCCTTTTCTTCTGTTAATTGCCACATAAAATGTTTAACTGGAATAAATATAAATATCAGACATAGTCAGATACATTTATTACCAGAATTAACCCATATTTCTTGTTATTCAGAAAAGTAATGATAGTGTATGTCTTGCTTAAATTTGGATAAAATAATTTGAATCTTAGTGTAGTTTTCTGGTTTCTAGCCAGTTATCCCCATCAGACGTATCTATGGAAAGATCTCTTTATTATGACTTAAATTTTYCTAAACCCATTATTTACCCCTCCACTTAGTAAAGGCTCACAAATCAGCTGTTTAAAAATCTTTTCTAGAGTTTTCCTGGTAATCAGCATTTAATTCTTGTTTCTGATGTCTGCTTTTTCATGGGCCCCCGGGTTCAATAATTGCCAATTCACCATCCTCTAACCCTCAAGAAGCATTGACAGAGGTTCTACATTCAAGGTTATTAAATGTTCTGGGATGTTCTTCCACTGTTCTTTTTATTTTTCTCATCTGACTTGGCCTTTAGTTCTTTTTTATTTGGTAATTGAAAGTTTTTAATTCAACAAATATTTTTTGAATGCCTACTGTGTTTCAGGCACTGTCCTAGGCCCTTGGGATACAGTATTAAATAATACACAATGTCCTTTTGGCACTGGTTGTCTCATTCGTACAGTGGAAACATAATAGTCTTATTTTTTTCCAGTCATAACATCATGAACATATTCTTGCTTGTTTTTCTTTCTGTGAGTATAGCCTAAAATAACCTTGTAATGTGCTTAATATTTTTCCCAAACTCAATTTTTTACTGATCAAAGCATTTTTGACATGTCTTTCAAGTTTACACATGGCCTTTTTATTTAGATTTGCTTAGGTTCCCCCTTTTCATCTCTTTATATAATAAGAGTTTTCCAGAGAACTTCCTCTGTACATTAATTTCTTTAATAGAACTATTTGTTATTCATTTATTTTAAAAGTATTCATTGAATCTACTCTGTAGTGGGCACTTTGTACTGAGAGAAATTTTTTTGAGAAACATCCATGAACTTTGGTATCTCATGTCAGGGAACTACCACTTYTTCTTTTTCCTTTACTAGAACTTCTAAAAATCTGCTTTCAGCATAGGAAACATGGCTGRCCATTTATCCTGTTTTCTTTGGGTATTAGGAAATTAAGTTGCTTATGGTTTCTTTCAAAAAGGTTGTATGAATGTACTAAGTGATTTTTCTAATTTTATATTTTTCTCAGAATTTGAATTTAGATTATTGATATACATTTTCAAATTTGTAAATAATTTTATAATAATTATCCTAATCTTGTTGAGGTTATATTTAAAATAAGTATTTTTTTTCTTTTCAGCTCATTTGATCCCTTCCAACTGATACCTTGTAATTTTTTCAGTGAAGAAAAGCAGGTACTATTTATATATCAATGACAAACCATAGGTAATGTCACTGTCTGACAAGAAATGCTTTTTCTTATTCTGTATATGCAAGAAATATGTATATGAAAGGATCAGATAAGATATATTAAAGGCCAATTGATTGGTACAGATGGAAAATGRGAGGGAATTTTTCCTGCTAGATTTTGAAGGGTAAATTTATTATAAAAAAAAGTCTGATTTGCATTGAACTTTGATTAGTGGTGAGAATTTGAAAGAGGCAAACGAGAAAAGGGTGGACATTTGAGTTGGGGAGAACACAATCTCTATTTTTATGTGCCCCCCCCTTGTTTTTTGTATTTCAGGAGCCATTTCAGGTGAAAGTAGCTTCAGAAGCACTTTTAATAATGGATTTGGTAAGGATAATCTATTGTGTTGACTTACTCTGATTTCTATTCTTGTTGTATTTTTATTATAGRAAGAGTATGGAAGACATTTATTTTGGATCTTTATTATCCTCTTTTAAGACAAGGAATCTAAAAATAAGTCTTTTCTTTTGAAGAAAAGCCATACAATTGCATGTTTCCATATTTTAGAGAAAATAAATTAATGTGAGTTTTGCGGACTGTTTGCCATCATTAACCCTATTTTCATTTCCTAATGTCTCATGTCTGCTGCCTTTTTAGAGTACTGAAACAAAGCACAACTTGTAATTTGGAGGTTCCTTGATTGCAATAAACTACCAATACTCTAACAGTTGTGTAAGTTTGTGGTGTTTTCTGTAGAAAGACCCAAAGTAATTTTTACTTTTGTGTCCTTGTAATGCTTTTCTTGAATAGGGAGAACAAATAATGTCTTCATTTTTAAATGAAAAAGTGCTGTCTTGGGTTATTAAAGTGTTTGCTTCAAAACTTCTCAGCCAGCAGTGAAGAAAGATGAAATTTGTGTTCAGACTCACATCTAGTTAACCTATGTGGCCTTATTTTAGAATAGCATAGGTGTATTTAGAAGTGACTCTCCTATAATAGTGAGTTTAATTCTGATTTTTGTCAGATGGTTTGTGCATTTGAGCTAAGTAATCTTGTATTTCTTCTAGCATGCTCACGTCTCTATGGCAGAAGTAATTGGTCTGTTAGGAGGAAGATACTCAGAAGTTAATAAGATAGTTGAAGTAAGTTCTTTCTTTAAAAAAAAATGTTTTAATTACTATCTAATCCTGCTGCCATACTAAATATTTTTATGGAGTATTTATATCAAAATAGACTTTACTTATTGTATGTGTGAGAACATGCAAATTATTCCCAGAAGTGACTTACATTTCATATACACTGAGCTTCTATTTTTTTTTTTTCTCATCAAGAAAGAGAATACTGCCAAGCCTTGGCCTTTCACTACCTTTATCAATAAAGAGCTATAACTCTTTATTGATGCCAAAAATATGTATTAATACTTGTAGTTGAAAGTTGATATGCATTATTCTGTTGCATATCAATTTGAAATTATTGCCATAAATAACAGGAATTGTTGAACACCTTAGCACTTGTATTATATAGTGCAATTTGGAAAAGTAGCCATTAGTATGACCTTATTAAAATAGAAAAATGCATGCAAAGTTCTTAGCATACAATCACACTTTGGGAGTATAATTTGTTTGCAAGTGATAGAATTAAGAGGATTTCAGAATAATCATAAGAGGCTCAATCCTTCATAGGTCTGTGCAGCAGAACCATGTAACAGTCTGAGTACAGGACTACAGTGTGAGATGGATCCTGTATCACAAACACAGGCYTCAGAAACCTTGGCTGTTAGAGGTTACAGTGTTATTGGATGGTATCATTCTCATCCTGCATTTGATCCTAATCCTTCCTTAAGAGATATTGACACACAAGCCAAATACCAGGTATGTATATAGGTATTGTATGTRTGCCTGCTGTACATGATTACACATCCTGTTGTGTTTTTTTTCTTTAATAAGCATAGTGTTTTTGATATTCTTTCATCTGGGATTTTTAATTGAATTCTTTTCTCTGATTGTAATAATAATACATGTTTGTATAAGCATTTGGAGAGTCAGCAATTTTGTTTAGTAAATACTGATATTCTCAGAGCCTTCTAAAAATGATAGGAAAAATTAGGACAGGGAATAGTTAAAATAGTTGGAAACATTCATGTAATTTACCCATCTGAAGAAAACAAGTTTTTTTTTCCTACAATTTTATGTTTGATATATGAGTGTTTTAGCTGTGGGCAGCTATTGTAGATTATAGYTGAAAAATAACCATTATAATTAGTAAACATATTCATAGCAAATATAGATTTTTGCAGGCTTTGTGATATTTTTAAGGGTCATTTTAGATTGGGTTTGACACATTTTAATTAAATAAATTTAATTAATTAAAAATTTCACAGTGTGAAATGAATACATGCAGCATTTCATTTTGTTGATGTTTGGATATGAAGTTCATAATGTACCTTTTTGTTCCCTTTCCCCCCATTAGATGTTAGTGTGATTAAATACTGACCTTTGAATTTATGTAGTTGAAACTAATTTTACTTTTTTTATAGAGTTATTTCTCCAGAGGAGGTGCAAAGTTCATTGGGATGATTGTTAGTCCCTATAATCGAAACAATCCTTTACCATATTCCCAGATTACCTGCCTGGTTATAAGTGAGGAAATTAGCCCAGATGGCTCCTATCGTAAGTTTTCAACAATAACAACTAATTACTATTTCTTATCTTATAAATCAAAGAATTTACAGCTATACAAAACTATTTAATGGAAAAGTTTGTCCATCAACTAGAGAATCACTATTTTTATGCTTTTTAGTGCTACCACCTTCTTCTTTTACATAATAGCCCTTGTGTTACCATGACAACTTGGCAAAAGGATGAAAATGTGGAGAAAAGTTATAGGCAAGCAGTGTATGTGCTAGGAGAACTGCTGTATATGCTGGAGAAACGGCCGTAAATAAGCATAGTCCCTGATCTCATGAAAGTGTGCTTATAAATGCAGACTGGCTTTCTCTGCAGTGGAAATGGAAAAGGGAACAAACAAACAAAAAACCTTGCTCTCTATCATCTCCTAGTGATATTAGGTTTACCAATGACTAACTCTTTTAATCCCCATTCTGTCTCATGAAAGAATTTGGTTGGCTTATCCCATCAGACATGTGTTTTCTCTGGAATTTATGTCTATTGTGATCTAATCAACTCTAGCTGGATAGGGGATATGTATACCAGATTAGAAAAGGAAGAGGATATAGATGGAAATGAAATGGTTGGAGGAAGCAGTTGGCTCTTCTAGGATGTTATTCTCTTTTTGTTCTTACTACCACTGCAGAATTTCAGATTTCCTCTGAATTAAATCATGAGTTCATTATGAATATGTGCTCATTTTTCTATCCCGTTACTAGTACAAGACTAGTAATTAATGTCACATATTTTATATAAGAAGGAATGTCAAATATTTTTCAAGAAAAACTCCAGTGCTGAACTTAAACTGATTGAAATATATAACGTAAATGAACAATTTTTACCTTGYCATACAAAGATCATTTATTTCAATTGCAACAAGGTTCTCTGTTGTAAACAATCTTTGTAGATTTTGAATGACCTCTATGAAAATAAAGAAGAAGAAAAAAAGCCTTACAAACTCAGTTTTTATCCTTAGCTGCTTGAGTGCAGACAATGTTTCATGAATAGATCAGCATTTATGCCTGTTGGTTTGTTAGCTTAATAAAGAAGTCAAGGGCAAAATACTCACTTATTGACTTTTTTATTGTACTAAACTGAACAACTGTAATATCTGTGACTTAGAATATCACTAAATGTTTTAAAATTTTCAATGTCAATAAACTCTTATGTATCAAAAAAAAAAAACAAACTAGTACAAGACTTGGCGTTTAAACTAAATGAATGTTGGTTTAATAATTTCTTTTCATTTCTAATCATCTCACTTGGATGTCCTGTATTTATTAGACTTCCCAGCTCTACGGCCATGTCATTTACCATTAGATACTCTCTGTTTTGCAAGTCTTGTTAAAATTGCATTTTCTTTAAAGAGCAGGAACTATGTCTTAATTATCTTTGCATCCCCAGGAGCACCTAATCAGTTGTCTTGCATCTAGGAGGTGGTCAACACTATTGGGTTTTATTGAATGTATAACATTGGCATTAGATTTAGTCTTAAATGCCTGTTTGAGCATAGCACATGGTGTATATCATTCTTTGGCTAAGCATAGTTTTACAAAGAGTTATAAAAGAAAGAAACACCATCAACTTGTTCTCAATTTAAATTACTTCTTATGTCATTATTAGCTAGATCTTGGTTAAGAGTCTTTATTCTGATGCCATCTAATACAATAGATATAGGATACATATGACTTAAATTCAATGGAATTAATTGAAGTTTAAAATTCACTTCATGCAATTCTGCTTGTAGTCAAAATGAAGTAGTTTAGACCTGTCTGAAACAACCAAAACACTAGACAAACATATCCAACAATGGTATTTAGGACACAACTTCAGGCACCAAAGAAAGATGATTCCAAGAGACAGGTAACAAAGTAATTGAGCTCTAAATTACTGTTRCTTACTGACATAAAAGAGTTTCCAGGGGCTGGGGCTTTAGCTCAGTGGTAGAGAGCTTGCACCACATAAAAATAAACAAATAAAATAAAGGTATTCTGTCAAGTTTCCAGGTATGGCACCGGAGGAGAAAGCCACCAGAGTTGAGGTGATGGAGGTAAGGAGGACAAACAGAAAGCCAGATAATAGAATGAATTTTGAAGATTTGTGGAAGGAACCCTCAGATATTTAGCAAAGTACAGACCAGTGTGTGTGAAGAAACTAGCTCAGGCCGGGGAACAATTACTTGAAAGGATAAACTTTCATTGGACAGCACACAGATTCAGCACTCTTCATTATRGAAAATTCTGTTGAGTAGAGCTGCCTGGTTAATGACTTGTCAATTGTTAGAACTGCGTGCAAGATTCTAATCTTAGGTCCTTTGCTTTGCTTCTCTTGGAAATCCTTTTGTACAAGAAATAAGATTTTACAGAAGTCACAAGATATTTTGTGCTACAGTGCTTTTAACTCTACTCCTGTCTTTAAAATGTCTAATGGTTAAATGTTTTCTGTACTTGTATCAGTCAGGAAATATAGTCAGTGATTATTTTTTTCTAATATTTCAGTGGATAAAAATATTCTATACAAAAGGAAATTTTTACTTTAGTGCCTTTAACTTAGAAAAAAATTTCTAAATAATGCCAAGTATATCTCTGTGTATTTTTTTGTGTTTATATTTTTCARTCAGCTCTGATTGAAAATGCATTCTTTACCTCTCTTTATTCCCATTTTCAGTTTTCATTAGGAATAGAAGTCATTCAACTATATTCAGATTCTACCACTTTACATTTACTAGTTATATTACCTTAGGCAGATTACTTAGGCCCTCTCATTCTCTTTTGTTAATTCTGTAAAGTGAGAAAAAAATATTATCTTGCTTACAGGGTGAGAAATTCTGGTAATGTATGTGAAGTATTTAGCAAATAATAGGTTTTCAATAGGTAGTTACCATTATAGCTGGCATCTCTGCTTAGTTGATTTGTTATCACCAGAAGAATTTGCTTAATAGTCCATGTACTATAATGTATCAGTCTTCTTAAGTTTCTGCAAGGGAGAAATAAAATGGAGGGAGGGAGAATTGAGAAGTGAAAAAAAAAAAATTAGTCATCAGTAGTCTTGCTATCCCTTTCTTTCTTTCCAAACATTTGGGGCCAGGGTGGCCTTTTTTAGAGCATGTTTTTGTTTTATTATGAAGAATACCATGTCTGCACTCCCACCGCTGCCCCCCCCCCACACCCTGTTTTCTTGCTTTCTGACTTGCTGGATTTTTATTAACCTGAAAAGCCTTGTTATGGCAAAAAAACCTTGATTGAGAGGCAATGGAGTGCAAAAGTTAAAAACATACATTATAAGGCTGGGGTTGTGGCTCAAGTGGTAAGAGTGCTCACTTAGCACRCATGAGACAGTGGGTTCAGTTCTCAGCACCACATAAAAATAAAATAAAAGATATTGTGTCCACCTTAAACTAAAAAATAARTATTTTTATTATCAAGCCTGACGGCCTGGGGGTTCAAGTCCTTCTTATACACAACCTTTTCCTGGCTCTGTGTCCTCATTGAAAAATGGGAAATGGGGACAATAATAGTAACTACTTCATTTAAATGACTTCACATACTTAAAGCACCTGATGCCTGGCACATGGTAAACCTTTGGTAATGAGTCACTTGAGCTGTTCTTTTAATATTCTGTAGATTTACATGGCAGTGTTGAAGGWTATGTGACAGATTGCTAAGATGGCTCACTGTGTGGTGATGTCTACCCTTTGGGCTCTTTTCCTCCAGTTTGGTATGGCAGCTATGACTCAAGTTACTCTCCAAGGTTGATCCYATTCCAAGTCTAGTCTTAGACTAGCACCTATAGGGAGGTGATGTGAAATCTAAGCTCCAACTTTGCTAACTTGAACGTTGTATTTAACATAGCTTAACTTGAATTTTCTCCTCTGAAAAATAGGAATAATGCTGCTTGATATCACTTGTCTTTAAAAAAAAACAAACTTATCACTAGGATGGCCATATGTCTTGTCTTGACTACGACTATCCCAGTTTAAGCTGTGGTTTAGGCATAGTTATTAATTTTGTCTCCTTTCATTATAAAAGTCTTTTGGTTTGGATAACATATTATGTGCTCACCCCACCTCTCATAGTGCCTTGTGTAGAATTGTCACGAAAGTGTCACTTTTACTTTTCTTCATTATTATTAATAGCTTGGTATTAATATGCTTGGTGGACCAAGTATAGTCAGGCAATAAATATTTAATGACTGCCCTCTATGTTTAAAGTGCTGTTCAGCTYGTCTGCCATGCTGTGGTTGTTAAAACACTGAAGGGAATTTTAAGTAATTACAAGAAGACTGGAGAYTAAGAAATAGTTGAAAATACKCTTCTTTATGGTTTTCTAGGTTTACCTTACAAATTTGAAGTACAACAGATGTTAGAAGAACCTCGGTGGGGATTAGTATTTGAAAAGACAAGATGGATAATAGAAAAATACAGGCTCTCCCCTAGGTATGTGTTGTGGTTTGAGATGGTTGCACATCTGCAGTGTTTCTCATTAAATTATGTTTTAGAGAAAACCCAAGTTAAATATAAAACTGTGATGTATGGCATCAGTGATAGTTTATTACACAACTGATTACCTTATAGTATTGTTTCATCAGTTTGTTTTCATATTTCTTCCTACAGCAGTGTCCCCATGGATAAAATCTTTCGCCGGGATTCTGACCTGACTTGTTTGCAGAAAGTAAGCTGYCTTCATTTTAATTGATTCTGTTGTTCACAGATTCCAAAGCTATTCATCTAGATGTGTTTTCCCTTGATGCCTAATGCTTTGTGGATACATTTTCTATATAGTTTCTTTATTGCTTTTTCCTTTCTAAAGTTAATTTCTAGAAGATAATTAGTAATGTGTTTTTGTTGCCCAAACTTGCACAGAGAAATAATACTATTTTAGAATAAATTTATCAAGTGTTGACTGATAAATTTCTTAGCAGATTATTATTGTGCACAATGGAGAACATTTTTCTCATTTTATTAAATTCAAAAGCACCATGTTTTCCCTCTAGCCTTAACTATTGATCATTTTTAAGAATGATAGTGTAAATCTAACAATTAAATTTAAATGGTCTTTTTATTTAAATTTCTAGTAGGAAATAAGAACTTTTGAATTATTTTATCTCACTTCTCATTTTGCTTCTATAATGAGTAGATTGGCAACATTTGTCTTGGGATTTTTTTGGTAGCAATTTGGGAATAGAAAATTTTTAAACATTAATTTTCAGTGTCTTTTACTTCTTAATTTTATAATCACATTTTTCCATATGCTATTGAAAGACTAATATACACATTTCTCAGAAAGTAGATTCTAACATTCTAATTTTTGAACAGTAGAGACTTATGTTTTTATCTACATTTTTTTTTTTTAATTTGGATTTGTTTTGTTTCTTTGTGGTGCTGGAGGTTGACCCCAGAACCTTGCACATTAACCCATTAAGTCTCAAGTTTTCAATATTGCAAATAGTTCAATGAAATTGGTATATAAACATTAAGATAAATTGAAATTCATAATCTAGAGCTTATATTTCCTCTGTGTTTATATGTATGAAAATAYATTTTTTCAAACACTACTCATTCACCTTTTTTATCAAAAGAATAGAACCTAAAAACATAATAATTTAAGAGTTATCTTAGTTTATTTGTTGCTCAACTTAAGTTTTTTTAGGTGTTCTACATCTGAGACAAAAATGAATTAATAGGTATTTTACTACATCACTAGATCCATAGCTTTTCTTTTAAAAATCTAATATTATTTTACTTTGTGAGTGCAACAACTAAAAAATGGAGCAAAAGTCACAAATTTGTCCAAAGTAGAGACCATCACATATTCAATCATAGGTTTGTCTTCTTACATAAAGTTGTAAAGGAACCAAGCTAAGCATTCCTCACTGGTTTCCAATACTTCGGCAGGCAGTTGAAAATAAGTCAGCCTTTAGCCATTCTTAGGAGAGTTCCTCATTTGATCATTAAGAAATGTGAGGTTTGGAAAGAGACAAAATGGTGATGTTTAAGTAGTTCCTCTTCTTATACTTTTTATGTATTTATGTATAAATTTTTTCTTTTTAACTAGCTTTTGGAGTGTCTGAGAAAAACTCTGAGCAAAGTAACTAATTGCTTCATTGCTGAGGAATTCTTGACGCAAATAGAAAATTTGTTCCTTTCCAATTACAAAAGCAAGCAAGAAAATGAAGTGTCTGAAGATACTGCKAAGCAATTATTAATGTAATTATTAAAGTAAGACATTTTAATCTATAGAATAGATCCCACTTTTAAAGTTATAACCTTGAAATGATTGTAATTTAACTGTGGCATGACTTTGCGAATAATTTTTCTCTAGTGAACAAAAATCTACACTTTTCCACATAAATTTATGGAAAGGAGGAGATATGGACTTRTTTTCATATAGTGGTTATCAGAATGTTGTGTAAACCAGGGCCCATCACACTGTTCCTGTCCTTTATCACGCAGTGCAGTAGACTATGAAAACTTATGCAGGTGGTCTGCTTTACTGTTACTTTCAGATTGATAAGTGGATTATCCTTATTTTTTGCTTTTTCCCTGAACTAGTCACTATTTTTCATTTTGGCATCTCACATCTCATTAGAAGCACTTCCATTATTTGCATATGTTCTGGTGAGATTTGTGTATTTGTTATTCAGGATTGCAAATGAGATATGGATGGGTGGTCACTGAGATAATTAACATAGTGGAGAACTACTAATTAATAAATAACAACATGCTGTAGGGGGCCATGAGAGGCATGAGGAGAATATTTTAAAAACCAACAGAAGAAACCAGAGGAAGAGAATTAAATTACCAGGGTTTGGTTTTGGTGAGGTTTTTTTTGTTCCCCCTTCCTTTGGTGCTAGAGATCAAAGCCAGGGCTTCATATATGTTAGGCCAGTGCCCTGTCACTGTGGCGTATACTCAGTCCTGAATTGCCCGTTTGCTTCCATTATGTTTTTAAAAAGCCACAATACTTTAGAATATGTTGTTTTCTCAGCTGTCTGAAATGTTTATGAATTTCACATGCATAAATAATTAGCTCCAATTATATGTTCACTTTCCATTAGTCTGATAAAACATCATTTAACTGGATCTGGTAATTGTAACCCTCAAACAAGATTTTATTTTTTTTTTCCTCCACTGTCTACTATCAGAAGTACGGCAAATTGCAGTAAAGTCTAAATAAATTAGAGGTTTAATTTTTAGAAGCAGAACAAGCAAAAAAGCCTTCATGTATTTTTACATATTCAATCCCAGTTTCATGTACTTTCTGAATAGAGGCCAGCAAACTTTTCTCTTTTTTATGAGTATATAAGCAAAGCTTTAATTGGGAAAAGAAAAGAGGGAGAAGGTCTTTACCTCAAGGTGAAAGGGATAGCCCTGACTCAGAGAACTGTCAAAATCCAGCAAACTTTTATAATGTAAGGGTCCAGTTACTATATAGTTTCAGCTTTTTGGCCATGTGTGGTCTCTGTCAGAAATTCTTCAATTTTTTAAATAACATTTTAAAAATGAAAAAAATCATTCTTAGGTCATTGCTTTCACAAAATATAGACTGCTAACCTAAAGAACTGCAAACAGTCTAATTTGGTATTAGATTCCTGAGACTAAAACACCATCTCATAATAAAAACAACAAAACTCAGAATTTTGATCCACACTTAAGTACATTATCAAATGAAAACATGCATTATGCTGCCTCATTCATTAAAATTTAACAAAATTAATTTTAGTTAATTTCTATTAAGCAGAGAATTGATTTATACCTATTCTCCAGGTATAGTAATAACAGTTATTATATCTAGACTGGATGTGAGTCCATGTTTTTGCTTTATTTGGTTATAATTAGTAGCCAAGGAAGAATAAGGCAGTATTGAAAGAAGCAGCTTTCCAGTTTTAGGTTATCTGAGTCTCAACCTTGTGATTTGGGGGAGGTATAGTTTATCTTCCCTGATCTAACTTATTTTCTGTAGCCAGGGTCCAATTTAACTTCCTAGTATCTTTCTGGGTCTAAAATTTTATGATTTATTTGTTGGTCTACTTCTTTGAAATTTCATATTTTGAAATTCTGCAGTTTTCAGATTAACATTTTGAAAAGAAAACTGGTAGTTTTTCCATTCTCTGTGTGGATTAAAAAAAAAAAACAAACAAACCTTGAGGGTTACAAATATAAGAGTCCTAGACTAAAAAATCAAGAAATCTGATTCTGGTAAAAGCTTTTCTGTGTGACTTAAATCATAATCTTTCTGAACCCTAGGCTCCTCGGTTGTAAATTAAGTGTATGAATTTTAAATGACTTTGGTGTTCCCTTCAAGCACAAGAAGTAYATGATTCTATGAAAGGCAATAATTTATTCGTTTGTGCTTGTCTTTTGATCTGTTTCCTCATTGCACATGGAGGAATGGACACTAGGAAGGTGGTAATTTTTAGCTCCCCGGATTGATATATATCCCTATAATCCTGATGAATTTGGATGATAGAAAATGTTAAAAGTACTGTTCTCAACTCTGGGCTTCTAAATGTCAATGGTTAACCATATTTACTAACCAGTCCAGTACTATAAGGAACTCAAGGATGGTAATTGTCATAGTGTAGGGCCTTGAGAGAACAATTTAAAAAATAACTTTAAAACAATATTTATAGTATTAGTATTTACATTAAGTATTTTTATCTTATAAAATATTTTTTAAATACAGAAAATTTACTATTTTTTCTTTTCCTAGTCATTCTGCTTGCTTCCTTTATTCTCTTCTTATATTCTAAACATACACCAACCTTAGGCAGTTGCAGCCAGAGCTTTGGAGAAGCAAAGAGGAAGTCTAAAATTGAGAGAACTTGTAATATAGGAAATTCAGGAGGCAGACTCCAAAAGAAAAACCCACCTCTAATAATGTTTCTAGAAACAGAAAAAGAACTCAAAAATATCCAGGTCTCTTCATCCTGAGTCTGTTATTTAATTATATTGCACATGATTATAAGATAATGAGCTTAACTTTGTTTCTTGTTCTGGCTTGGCTAATGAACATTGATATAAGTACTTCTTCAATATTAAACAGTTTTCTTTAAAAATCTAATTCCCAAGAAATATTCAAAAGAAGAAAAATCAGTGAAACAAGACCAGTAATATCAGACTCTCTTTCTTTTCTTCCTCCATTATTTTAACCTTGAACCATTGTTCTTTGAGAGAACAGTCTTTTTAATTATAGATTGTAATCCTTTTAAATGATCTCAGTTTCTTTCTACAGTTGGTTAGAGGTATCTGATGAATTTTCTCTGCCCCAGGTACTTTGCCTTCTGGGGGGGGGGATGGTGGCAGGGTGTACTGGAGATTGAACTCAGGGGCACTCAACCACTGAGCCACATCCCCAGCCCAATTTTATATTTTATTTAGAGACAGGGTCTCAATGAATTGCTTAGTGCCTCAGCCTCCCCAGTGCTTTGCTTTCTTGCACCCCTTCTTCCGTACAAATTTTAAAACTGTATTTTAAAATTATGTTTCTATAAAATGAATTTGTTTAGATTTAGGTTTAAAATGTTTTTTGGGTTTTTGTTGTTATTGTTGTTGTTGTTGTTTTAATCATAAATTTTTTTTTTCATTAAGTTAAAAAAATGTGAAAACATTTTTGTGGGCCTTTCAGAATATTGTGAACCTGAGGCATTGCTAATTGGATAGGTTGGCCCTGTCTGTGTTCTGAAGGGTATCATTGGGCTAGAGTAGTCATTGCCACCCCACTCGAGCACTGCAGTTTCTACTTTTACAGATTGTTAGACTTGAACTTCATAGGAATGAAGTTGGGTTAGGAAGAATCCCAGCCTAACCAAAACTCAGCAGTACTGCTTAGGAACACTCACCTTCAAAAAAGAAGGCAAATAGTTAATTTTAGTCATTAGATAGGTGGTTTTAATTTGGTCCTTAATCTAGTTTTAAACCTGTGCCACACCTCATAGGAGAACAGCCTACTGCCTYTCTTTTCTCCCTACTTCCCCTAAGTCCTTTATCCTTGCTGCTTTTACTAATTAGCTCTTTTACATACAAGATCTTTTATCATTTATTGAAATCTGTGCCTATAGAATAAAGATAAATAGACCTATTCATATTTCCCTGAAACTGTTTAGTGTGCTGCCTCAGCCTACTCTCCAGAATGTTCTTCCTTCCCCAACCACAGAAGTGGTCTGTGTAATATGCAYTCCAAGCACCATCAGAATCCCTGCTGCTCTTTGGGCAGCAGTGGAGATTATGGCCTCACCATACCAACCTGAGTCAGCCTCCTGCTCTTTACTTTAACTTCTTCCCATTGACTTTGCTGGGTCCTAACAAGGGAGCTGGAGGATAAGCTGCTACAGTCATAAGGCCTAGAATTGGTGCCACTTGATTTATAGCTACCTATCTACAAGTCACCAATAGGTACCCAGCTGATGGATTTCTCAGTGGGAATCGAGTCAGTGTACCCTCATTTTGTTTTTCACCAGCATTGTCCTCCACCATGTGATTAAATCTAGTGTCACATGAAAAACTTCTTTTAGTGAAGCACAAAAGCAGAACACAATATTTTGATAATCATGTGCTCCATCAATATTAACAAAATTGAACAAAGAAATTTGATCCACATCTCCAGTTCACCGGTAATTTGTTTTCTCAAAAATTTTTCAGAAAGTCACTGTAAGAAAATAATTGTAACACAATTTTTGGTTATTATTTCCTGATCTTTTCTTAAATATTTTTATGAGTGCTAATCCCCAAACTCTGTTTTCTTTTTGTTTATCCTATTATTGTACTTTTTGGTATTTCTGAATCTGTCTTCTACCTTAAATCCTTCTGGAACAGGGGAGGTAATAAATATATTCCCACAAAATCAGGAGAAAAGGAAAATTCCCAGAGAAGCTGTGGTTATGATTAGGGTTCTATATGGAACTAAATTTGAATAGGTAAAATTGGTTCATAAAACCTGAGTTGTTTCTATTTTCCTCTGTTAATGTTTATGAATATACTCCTAAGAACTTTTAACTTAAGGAGAAAATGCCTGATTTGCTGTCATTGAGATTCCCTAGGATAGTCTCTTAGGAATTATGAAGTCTATTCAAATGCTTTCAGTTTGTATACCTATTTTATAGGTTACCACAAAGCACTTGTTTCAGTCTATGAGTTATACAGTTGTATTTGGAATCTAGCATGTTTTAAGTCAATCATATGCCTTTAAATTTATGGATTTGACATGTGTCATTGCGTGTAAGTTTACTAGACGTATTGCATGACTTGACAAATCTCTTGCTATTGTTTTTCCCAAATGTTACCAGCATTATTGGATTCTTTTTATTAGTTTGAATTTTGGAATGTTCTGTAACAAAATTAGTGATTTAAACTATTTCATAAATTTAAATATGATGCCATATTGTACATATCTGTATTAAAGATTATTGTAAATATTAGTGTTTGTAGAATTACAAAAGGCCTTCCTCAAAAATGATAAAACTGTTCCTTCCATACTCATTTGTGACATACTATAAAATATCTGATTTTAAGTTTTGGAATTTTATCTTCTGATAAAATCATTAAAGGAAAATACTGAGTATTCAGTGTAAATAAAATTTTGAAAACAAGTAGTCATTTGGTYTCTAAATTATTAGCAATATTATGCATATTGAATTGCAAAAAGAAAAACATTAATTCAGTAACCACTTGTTGAACATCTGTTATGTTGAACAAAGTAGGGGACACAAAGATGAGTAAATCTTGATTTCTTCCCTAAAGAAGCCTATTACCTAAGAAGGGAGAGAACACATAAAAGAACACCAATAGCTAAATGCTCAGATATAAGCTGGAATTGATTATTAATGCCTGTGAGAAACTTTAAGGATAAAGGGTGGTTAGACAAGAGAGTGCTCTGTAATTTAAGCAATGAGATCGGTCTCTTGGAAGAAGTCCCTGGCAGGATTTGGTTAAATGACGTTCGAGGGACAATGTTACAGAGAGACTTGACCTTATCTTAGTGTAGGTGTGCATGTATTAGAACGATGAGTATATTTTGATCAAAGTAGGATATATGAAAGCAGCAACAGTCAACCAATTAAATTAAGCTATAGAAAGTATAAAATACAGATCTCACCTTAAAATCAATATTAACTCTGATTTTTAACTTTTCAGTCTTTATTTCTGGCATATAAGAAATGTATGAAAAAACAAGATCCCATCTTTAATATCAGTATTTCTCTCCTCAGGAACATCTTTCCATATCCACACAGATTATTCATTCTTTGCAGTAGTTACATAGCATTCTACAGTACAAATTTGTCATAATCAACTTGATCAGTTTACAAAAAGAACTTAAGGTTGTTCCATTTTTCTATGGGAAAAAAAAATAGTTTTGCCCTCTATCAGTACTTTCAAAATGGATTCCTAGAAGCTTAGTTGCTAGATAAGAGCTTTGTACCCTTTGTTAGTGTCAGAGARAAATTTAATTCCTATAAGCTGATTTTTCTCATAGTAGTATAGACATTTCATCTTACTTACAGAACCAATTTAAACTCAGGTGCCTAACTAAAAATAATAAGTTAGTTTGTAAAGTACAATGAAATCCTGAGAGTTTTAACTCCGTGAGGCATTTATGTCATTAGAAGTTCATTCCTCTGTAGAGTTGTTATGGATTCTTGCTAATTAAGCMCTTGTAATTTTCTGATTGTGGACAGCATTTTATTCAGCCTGTGGCTTTAGAGGCCAGCATTGGCCTGAGTCAGCGCCACCTTGGGGACAAAAGGCAAATGTACTCCCTAGACCTTAACTCATGACCCATTAAAAGTATAGTCTGTGTTCTTCCCTGCCTACCTCAGTCTCCCAGAGTTTTGTCAACCACAGAAACTAGGGCATCATAAAAGCTAGGATGCCTTTGCAGTAACACCTACAAAATAAGCTACATGGGAGAATGAGACTGCTAAGGATCACTACAAAAGACAAACTAACTCCTGGTCCCTTAACCTGTCAGTCATTAAAAACATGAACTACCCCCACCCATGCCTCTAGTAGCTACAAAAGCCCAACCTTACCACAAGGCCAAGACATTTGTGCAGGCTGCAACACCAACAGAAGAAACAGCAGTTCCTGGAATAAAATGATTGCCCATTCCTCTTGGTCAGGATGTTTGACCAGGGAAAAAATTCTAATTCTAGCTCACTTAGGCAACCCCCTACACATGAATAAAACTTGTCCCCTTTCTCTGTTTTTTGAGCAACCTGATCTCTATCAGTKCTGTCTCTCTCTCCTTGAGGCAAAGCTGCTAATTAAAACTTTGTGTGTTCGTGCTTTTGGGTTTCATTTCTATAACTGGGTCAGATGTTCCCATCTCCCAGTATCAGTCCCGCAGTCCTGTTTGTACTATGATGGTTTTTCTGACTCCTGTTGATATTTGTCTACATCACTGATTCTCAAGAAAATCTTTCCATAGAATGTTATGTATGTTAATTTAGTGTCTTCCATTTTCAGAAAGATGTAACTAAATAAAATGCTCATTTTTGACCTCCATATTTTCATATTTTTCCTATTGTCAAAAACAAGACATCAGTTATCTACTGTCTRTTACTGGGTATAACCAATGATTCTCCCATACACCCGCCCCCCCATTAACAATATCACCCCCAAATGCAGAAGAATTGGAWAGTTTCAGAAAGCAAGTTAACTCCTTAGCTCTTGTTACCTGGATTGGTGATTGTTGAAATTTCTTCTGTTCTAACACACATGGTATAATCAGCAAGAGTTGTGCCTTCTATACTCACTGGTAACTAGGTAGAAAGAGAGTACACATCAGACTTCCTTTGTGTAACTGTTGTGGTTTGGATCTAAAAATGTCTCCCCAAAACCTTRTGTTTTTAAATTATGATTCCCCGGTGCAGAAAGAAGGTGGGACTTGTAGGCAATGACAAGAACTGTAACCTCATCAGTGGATGAATAAATTATCRGGTGGTTCAGATGGGGCGTGATAAAGGAAGTATCTTTGGAGGTTGCCCATGGGGATGATATCTTGCCTTTGGCCCCTTCCTCTCTGCTTCCCATCTGCCATGAACTGAACAGTTTCCCTTTGCCACGTACTTTGGCCATAATGTTCTGCCTCACCTGAGGCCCAGAGCAATGGAGTCAATAGACCAGGGACTGAACCTCTGAAACCATGAGTCCCAAACATATAATAAACTTTTCCTTCTCTAAGTTCTTATCATGCATTTTGGTCACAATAATGCAAAGCTAATAACAAAAAAAAAAAAATCTTTTCAATAGAACAAAGCTATTTTCCTAATCATAGAATAAAGACCAGACTAATCTTTTTCTATTTTGATTTTTTCCCAGTTCTCCCTCACTTTTCTCCTTCTCAGAATTTG